TCCTATATGCCGCGCTTATCTGTATGTCTAATTCTTCCCCTCTGTTTGGAAAATTTTCAGTCATTAATTCTTTGAACAGCTTTTTTAAATCATTTGCATTTTCTCCTGGTACTTTATGGATTCCTATCAGTCTTATTCTTCTTTGTATCATCTAAGAGTTATTGGATCAATATCTCATGCTCCCTTACTGATTTTAAGAGACCTCTCTTTTCATGGTCACTGTCTGTGATCCTATCTTCTATATCTGAAATTCTGTCTTCGCAATCTTTTATTCTGTTTTGTACACTTTCAATAGAGTTTTTAATCTCCTGGATGTCCATTTGAATCTGTTTAATGGATTCCATTTCTTTCCTATGTTGGGTGTTCATTGTTTCCATTTCTCTCTTATGTTGGGCCTTCATGGTTTCTATTATGTTTCTAAGCTCATCTATTTTTTTGTCAGTTTCTGTCCTGGAGTCTTGAATCATGTCTTTCATTTTGCTCACCATCTCTATGGTTATCTGGGAAATAATTTCTGTTTTGAATTTTTCTCGAGCTTGATTGATTAGTTTTTTTACTTCCTGTGCGCTGAGTTCTGAGTGTCCTGGAGGTTCACTATCTGATTTTTCATCTTCCTTTACCCTACTGTTTGCCATTGGTGGACTGGAAGTCTGTCTTTGTGGCTTGCTTAAGTGTTTTCTCATCTTTATTTTTGCTGTTGGGTTGCCCTTGATTCAATCTCTCATTAAATCTTCCTGATATCATTGTGTCCCAGCCTTTCATTCTCTAATGACTTTTAGGCATTCTCATTTTTATAGTTGAGAAAACAACTCATCAAATCAATCCCTATCCTTTATCCCAATCGATACAATCAATAACACAGTAGGATCAATCACCACCCTTTATAGCCCCCCCATGCCTCTGTAGAGTCTGTCCAAGGACTGGTTTAATCAGGGGATGACAGTGCTCAGTGGTGCTCGTGCGGCTACCCTCCTGGAGCTGGGTCGGAGCCAATCAGAAGCACGCGCTGGAAAAGGTGTGACTCCAGAGGAGGCCCATAGATTGGGTGTCTGTGCAGCAGAGAGAGCTATTTTCAGTATTTTTAATTACAAATTATGCATCAGTGAATACTCTGGTACATATGCATTTTCACATAAAGAAAGTATGGATGTATGTTGAGGGTAAATTACTTGGACATATAATTGCTGTATCAAAAGTAAATGCTCTATAACACTTCTCCAGAAAAAGAGGACCCACAGAATATATAT